AAAAAAAAAAAAAAAAAAAAAAAAAAAAAAAAAAAAAAAAAAAAAAAAAAAAAAAAAAGAAAAGATAAACAGAATAAATGTGATCGTGAAACAAAAATTCTACAAATAATTTTAATTTTTTTCTAAGAGTATCAATTATTTATGTAGAGACAAACGTTTGAGAAGTGACTCAAAGAACTAGAATCCACTATAGCGGCATAAACATATTTTTTCGTGTGATTAAAAGTACTTTGAATGATTATGTATTGTCATAATATAAAAGAGAACTGTTACATTTTTTTTTGTAATTCAACATATCCTAATGAAACGCTTCCCATTATAGAAATACTTAATATATTGTTAGAAAAACAATTTGCAATGCAAAAAGCGCCAAAGCATAATTTACCTATAAAGTTTTAGTTGATGATAAAAAGATATAAGAGATCGTGGCCTTAGACTTTTCTAGTATGAACATTTTTCTAAAAAAAAAATATAGCAAACGTCTCGTTACCCGTGTTCCAAGACTTATAGAACAAAGGTCTATTTCAAAGTAGTTATTTTATTTTCTACAACAAGGAGAAGACTAGCATAAATTTCTAAAACAACTACGTGGCAGTTAGATACACCCTTAATTTGTAAATAAACGAATCCATTGATAAAATGCTTTGGTTAATAATATACCTACGTTGATTTTCTACAAGAGTGTACAACGGCGGTATTACGAAATTCGTAACCACTGGAATGCAAGAGAAACACATCGTCAATTTCGATTTTAAATTATCCAGAGCAAGGGCCTTTAAGTCATAAATGTATAAGATATTACTTTTCCTAATTTTTCTACTGTTTAAGAAAAAATGTATGCATGATCGTATAATAAATATTTTTAGTACAAAACTATTGCCAAATTTTAGGTAGATACAATATAATCATGCATATACTTTTTTCTTCAACTCAAACAAAACTTCAGTTCTGAATTGACAACTATGCAGACAAATAAATGTCGAGTAAAATGGATGCAGACAAGAAACAATGTTGTGTAGCATGTTAATAAATAGTGAAATAAGTGTATACGTTTACCATGGGTGTGAAAAAGAAAAAGAGAGAATGAATGTGTAGAAGAAAAAAGCGTTAGTTCTCCCAAACAAAGAGGCACATAAGTATACAAGTGAGAAGCAAATTTAATAAAATGATTCAAGTTGCGTAAGTAATTTGTTGCATGACGATAGTGCTAGTGAAACATGTAAGCAGTTACATTTAGATCCTCTGAGAGGGTTCCTGGAGATGCTGGGAGTCGGAACGTCAGGAGACAAATTTCCCTGAGGAGTGACAGGAGCCGAGCCAGAGCCTGCTTGCTTTTGCCTCTCTGAAACAACACTTATTTGCCTGTGTCTCTTGATTCCTTTTTTTTTTTTTTTTTTCTCTCTCTATTGTATCCATATGTATCAGGTTTGTTTGTTCGTTTTTTTATCCTTCCAAAGAATTACTGATTTTTTCGACAATTTTTTTCTGAAAGTTGTTACTCGGAAAAACTTTTTGTCGACTTTTTTTACAAGCCACTGATTTTTCTGGTTTTTTTTTTTTTTTTTTTTTTTTTCTTAATCATTCATTTTTATCGACCTCCACCAACGTTAAATTAAAGCTACGCGAAAGCTAGATAACAAACACAATAAGCGATGTCGAGATTTTGTGATGCATCACAATATTGCGATATGTGTTCACGTGCCACGATAAAGTGATATTTAAAGTAGCGATTTTATGGTAATGAAAAAAAAAAAAAAAATTCCAAGCAGTAGATAAAAATTTTGAAAAAACAGTTAATTTGATTTAAATAGCGACTGTAATATCAAATCGTTCATTAAAATATATACATGTATAATTGTAAAGAACAGATACTTGATAAATATTAATTACTCGAAGCACTTGAAATTGAATAACCTACCCTGGGAGTTGGACATGAAAAGGTTGAGCAACGAAGTGGTACGACGTGAGGTTTTAGTTTGCTGAGCCTGAACACACTCATTATTTCTCTCGCTCTGGTTCTCCTTATCCTTATCATGTAATTTTGATTTGTCCCTGACAGTTAGAAAACCCTCCCGCTTAACCCCTTGACTTTTTTTCAAAGTCAGCTGAGAGTTACCCGCTACACCAGTCTCGCCATTCGCGCCCTTTGATGACTCTTTTGGAACGTCGCTGTTTTTTTCTTGACTCGATTGGCTTACCAACTCTTGTAAGTTCGCCAAAGACTCATCATACTCTGCTACAGCTAAAAAACAATTTCCTTTAAATAAAAATGGACACATTAAAAATTGCTGTATAAAGCCATTTGTTAATATTTACCTGGCTTTTCAAACCCTGTGTATTTACTTTGAACAAACTGCTCCAACAATTTATCTACCGTCATATCTAAGCATTGTCTCTTAAAATCTATATGTATTTTTCCAACTTGCTCATGATTCGACTGTAGAACATCGGCATAAGTATTTAAAAATTCCTTCATATTTCTCAAGTGCGACTCTTCTACATCTTGAAATCTCTAAAAATAACAAACAACCGTATTAATCGAAAGGTAAACTTTTAAAATCACGCTTACATTGTTACTATATTTTAATATACTAATGATAAAAGTAAACTGATCACCTTACAAGCCTGAGTCATTTTTGTTTCAAAGTCATTTCGTATTACGGTATACTTTTCTACCAATGTTTTATACTCATCTTGGGCCTTTTTAAATTTCATTTCAGCTTTTTCCAATTCCTTTTGGCTTGCATTATCTTTTTTTAATTTTTCCAATTCGGATCCTCTTTGCATCCATGTATCCTTGGATTTTTGAAGAATAATAGTAATACTCTGTATACTCTGAACAACTTCTAACGTTGAAGATTCCTCTTCCTTTACCTATAAAGTGAAAAAAAAGTTTTTTTTTCATAATATACGTGTAAAGTAAAAAAAAAGAAATCAAATGTTATCTTTTGTGTTTGGTGATATTTCCAGAGAAGTATAGTCTAATTAAACAGTGGGCGGATGCAGATAAGTTTGTCACAGATTGTACTAGTATCAATGACAAGCAGAGTTGAAGGAGAAAAAAGTGTGTACAAAATTTTTTTAAAATCAGGACATTTCTTTCGGATATTGAAATAAAATTTATAAAAGTTTGTTACTCACAGCTTTGTGCTTTTTGTGAAGTTCATCAGAATATTTGGATACGTCTTTTATCAGTTCTGATACTTTTTGGGCCAACTGCAAATGCAAACCAGCCAATTTTTCAGCTGCTCCTCGTAGTGCAGCCCAAACTGGTGCAAATGTTCCCTGAGTACTGTTACTGTTACTGGCTTGCTTGGCAACTTTACTGAGCAGCTTATAATTGTTCTCCTCAATAACTGAGCGTTCTCTAAGAAAATCTGCCAACTCCTTACTAGCCACAACTCCATGTTTCATGTTACTATATAGTACGAAGAATCCATTGTTCTTATCACCCTAAAATTATATACAGACTTTATAGACAGTAGTAGTACTGCGAACCATGTTTATTGATTCAATTATGTCCTGAAAGTCGTAGAATGTGTCAAAGGTGCACGAATTAAAGACTGGAGGGAAAAGAATTGAAAAACACTGTAGGCTGCTTGATCTCTGGTGTATGGTGTAGGCTTTGGTTGCCAATTGGTCAATTGTGCATTACATGTATAGGCAATCGACTTGATCATGTGTACCTATCTTGAAGAGGGAGGAAGAGAGAGAGAGAGTCAAACAACCATCAGAGCGGCTGATGATCAAGTATAGGCTCAATTACATGCCTCAATAACTTTTGTTTTCTCATGAAAAATACCCAAAAGATTTAAAAAATGTAGGAAGATAACAAGCAAATCAGTTTATTAGTTAAAAATCAAAGCACAAGCACATCCAGGCCTCACATTAACGATTGACGATGACATGGTACATAAACAAGTACTCAATGATTTAAGTACATGAAACAAAAAGAGCACGCGTAGAAGGTGGCTGTCTGGGATATGCGAGACTCTGTCGGTGGCTCACAGCACCCCAAATGGAAATGCAAGTTTGATAAAGTCAACTTGGTGTGAAACTTAGGAAAACAAGCAAAACTCAATTAAGTGGGTACGTAATGAAAGAAAAAAAAACTAACTCACCCAGAAGCAATCAGCAAAGTCGACGGTCATGATGTACAGCAAGTCGTGCGCGTAATGAATACGCGCTCAGACGCTCCCTCAAACCATCTTTGGTTTTTTGTAATTTTCAACTGCTATCGCTGTGTTGATGATGCATGTAACCTCCAGGTATTATAAATATAGGCATACAGCAGCGAGCTGTTGGGTAGTTGTCAAACTATTTCTTCTCTTCGTCGTTGTTGTTGTTGTTGTTGACGTCCTCGTCGTCGTCGTCGTAATTGTTGACTTCTCAGCTTCTCGGGCGTCACCGTTTTTGGTTTCCCGCTGCAGCCTGCTGACACTCATTCAACGTTCTCTTCTCTTTTTCGCCTGCCTTTAGTCAGTTTAGTCCTACAGTCTACACACATGTTCTACCTACCTATAACCTACTGTACTTTCTTTCTATATGTATTGTATATACGTGTGCACTTTTACATGGACCAGGAGCCCCCTAACCCCCTTGCTCACTGCCCATCATTATTGCCATTGCCCGCACTGTTTCCTACTGCGGCAGATCTTCGTACTTATATATACACAAATGCACTGCTAAATCGATGATATTATACACGCTATATAGTTATATTATGACAGGCAAAACGAGACACGAGACTGGTCGACTGATTAAGTAAGTACTTGGTTGAATCAAATTGCTGACGAAAGATGAGAGAATTGACAGAGGAAGTAAGTATAGGTATAGATATTTGAGTTCGAAACAATCGGATGCTGGAGTCTCCGGTCCAAGCTTTACAAGACCACCACCTCATGTTAATGGTAATGGAGAATATGGCGCTAGTAGCGTTGTCCAAAATTATCTATTATTCAGGAGCGCGCGGTGGCTCAGTCGGCAGGTCGTCGATTGACACGCGGGAGACCGTGGTTCGATTCCCGGCCATAGTGCGACATTTTCGGTCAAGTACCTCTGTGACATTCACATGTGCTTTTTCACCACGCAATGTTCCTCGAGGAGGGTTTAGGCGACCTTCTCGCAGCAAAAATTGCCTAATTTCCCCCTACCCCCTCCCATCCCTTTCCTTGTCCCCCTTTCCCAAGTGCTAAGTGCCCATAGTAGTGCCCTTACTAAAGGAGCCGGACGTAGAGCACTCTAATATATAAAAAAAAACAATCTATTATTCAGTCCCATGGTTGTAAATAGGTACAGTGGAGGCCGTTTTATTCGTTGAGCGGGAAATTGAAACATTTAATTCCCATTGGCTGATTCGATCACATAACCTCTTTGATTGGTCAATTTTTTACTTCCCGCTCAACGAATTAAATAGCCTCCACTGTACCTATAATTGTGCCGCACGAAGGAAAGAGTTGTGTACAAGATTTTTCATTTTTCATAATTGATGGACATTTGGTAATAAATAAGTACTTTTACCCATTAATAAAAAAAAAAAGTATATGTACACTACAATAAATGCATCGTTTTAGTACTAAACATTTTTATCAACTTTTTTAACGGCTGATGATGATTTTAAAAAATTTACAATTGTAAGTTTTCTAACAATGTATACAAGTTATTTCATACGCATGAACTTTTTTTAGCGGAAGCCTATAGCTTGTAAAATACCATTTGTGCAGATTGAAAGAAATCGACATAAACTTATTATTTGTTTAGTTAAGGGGAATTTTCCTGAATCGGCAATTTGTAGTAATTGATAATAAGGTACATAGTTAACTTTTAGTTAACTAATAAGTCAAAGAATAGTAATTTCTTAATTTACTGTTTGACTTCCATTTGTATAAGTAAAGCTCGGATTCCTTCTTGAATGATGTCGCGTAACAACGTGACATGTTGTGAAAAAGTGATACTAACGTTTTCGAAGTATGGTTTAAGAATACTTTTTTAACTGTACATGGATAGTGGTACATGAATTAAACCTGATGCGAACTTCAAAATATTACAAATGATTTACTAACGTATTAAAACATGATGAAAAAAATTTTAAATACCAATAAAGCCGCTTGTCAAAAACACATGATCAGAAACGTATTTTAAGAAAATTTTTTTTTTTTTTCTTAAATTTGGAGGAATTACAATATTATTTAAATTTTGAAAGTACAGTTTAACTTTAGTGAATGAACAGTTCTTGTCTCATTTTACACACAAAAGACCATTAATAGTTGACTTTTCGCGCTGAATTGACGCAGATTCGAAAAACCTATCGCTCAAAAGTGAAGATTAATTGGTTCTAAATATATACATTCTTATTTTTGTTTTTTTCAGACAGCACCGGATTAATGCCTTGATTAGGGTTACTCGCAGTTATTTATCGACACGATCGCTAACTTAATTAATCATACGTTCATGATATTTCTATTGTTTTTCCCACCATGGCGTGCATTTGTTCCGATAGCTCTTCGAAAAATTTCTGCAAGGTATCTTGCTCATGTGTCCAAGGAATCACTTACTCTAAAGGATTTCTTTTTTAACAATCACTCTCACGAGCAAGAAATCTCGTAGATTAATTCAGGAAATCTCATAAAAGTTTTCCTTCCTCGTATAGATTAAAGACACCTATGATTGGTACAATTTTTTCATTTTATCAGTGCCATTACGTGGTATTCGAATTGTGGGGGGGGGGGGGTTTCGGAGTCTCGGGATATTCGGAGGAAAAAACGATTGATCAATTAAACCTGGCCTTTTATTAAAAACAAGCGAGGGAAGAGCGTACTATGTGTGTGTATCGCGGACTTTATTCCAACTTTGACTGGAGTCACCGACTGACCCTCTTTCGTTCTGATGAGTAGCTGCCCGACCGCCCCACCACCACGTGGGGCCTCTCTTAGGGGCCTATGTTAGCGCTCTTCCCTCGTTTATAATAATAGTGGAAGGTTGCTAAAATATTTTTTTCTTCTTTTCTAAAATATGTTGGCTACAAACTGAATAATATTCGACGTAACAAAAGATTTATTCATATTAATACTTCGTACGTTCAACATTTCTCTAATTTCTCTACTATCTAAAAATGTACGCAAGTGTAGGTACTGGTATACAAAATCCGTTAATTGAGTTATAGGTAAGGTTTGATAATTCTATATACATGTCAAGTTTTTCTTTTTTCAAATTGCAAGTGTTTTACATATTTCAAATGAATGGGCTAGTATTTGATTCATATCTCGATTGCTTTTCGATTAGTACACTTTTACAATGGGTGCGAGTAATATTAAAAAATTTCATACTATAATAAAAATTATAATTAACATTTATAGTGATTTAAGCTTGGCTGTTCGGTTTAATCTTTTTATAATTTTCGTAGGTTCGTGTATCGGGACCATTACCGGTCTCAGAGTGCAACGCCCTTAGTCTAAGATAAATTAATAAACAACCACCATCCCCTTCATCGAAACGTTGTAAAGAGGAAGGGAAAGTTCGTGGAGCCTCTATACTGTATTTTTGCATCCAACGTACCAAATTTACACTTTTTTTTTTTTTTTTAATTTCTCATGCTTTCGTTGAATTAAATTTATTGAATTAGTGGAAGAAAGTTTATTATTACTATTTTGTAGATCTAGTCTCATCGGCCGCCAGAAAGCCTCGGGATCAGGACTAAAATAAACTTCTTATAAAGCACTAAGACACATTAAAATCCAACCAAGAAACAAAAGGAGATCTCCGCTCTGTCAAGTATATCTTTTCCGGAAGAAAAAAAAAATTAATCTTGTAAATGTTCGTATGATTAATTTTCTTGTCACCATTATAAGAAATAATAAAAAAAGAAAAAAAAAACCACTGGCTTTTTAAAACCTCGTGGAATTTGCACAGCACCCCCTATCAATAATATCAGTTTGTGACCTAGCGCTCAGGACCGCTGGGACAATACTTAAAAGTTTTGGAAAGCAGAGCAACAGGAGCTGGCTCAGGTGAGAGAGAGAAAGAGACTGTGTCAAGTGGATATATATAAACACCTAGCTGCCTGCTGCTTGTACTTGTCCGATGCTGTTGGTCGGTCAGTTGTTCTAGAGGCATCATCAGCTGCTGCAGGCATGCCAGCGAACAAGTCGAACCATTGTAGCGGTGGTACGCCGAGTAAGGAAAAACCGATAAACGCTCGCAAGCGCAGGTCGTCATCGCTCAAGCATCGCAGACCGTCCAGGAGTCACTCGGTGAGGCTTTATACTTAATGACAAAAAAATAATTTTTTGGTCGTTGATAGTACCCCTGTCATGTTTGAGGAAGTAGTTGTAAGTAGAAGTCTCTGTTTATCGTATTTACAAGAAAGCAACCAAAAACAGCGAGAGAAGGAGATAACGTTAATAACTAAGTCAAGGGTTATGCTGTTTATATATTTACTGATATACGTATATGCAAGGACATTTTAACTACATGATGGGTAGTTAACTTCAAGTCGTTAAAAAAATAAAATACTACAGTAAAAAGCTAGATAACATGAAAACTAACAAATTGTAATGGAAAAAATTTTATAATTGTTGCACAACTTATTGTCTGTTTATGATTTAAAGAAAAATGTTATTATTAAAATTATATCAATGGTGCACNATTTTTATTATTATTGTAATTACTTTTTTATTTTATAACCGTTGTCATTAGTTGTTAAGATTATCATAAAAATATAAGATTGTGTAGACGATGAGAGCGACGTGCGCCCGGGATGAGACGCACTCGATACGTATATATATATGTATTCTTGTATCGAGGGGGGAGTGCAAATTAAATGGGTATTATAAAAATATGGTAGGTACAATGACTATACATGCCGAGTTCACAGACCGCGAAGCTCTCCCTCTTCACTCCTCACCTCTGCGCAAGCACTGAAAACTATTTGCACGTATGTTATATGCATATTATAAGTACAGCCACGTTCACTCGCTCACGCGCAAAAACGCATTATTTTTCTCTCTGATTTTCTAACATTACGATACAATAAGTGTATTATCGAGGCGTCACTTGAATTTCACGCACAAGTCACAACTTTATTCTCTGTTTTTTTTTTTTTTTTTTTTTTTTTTTGTACCTCGTGCAGTGTCCAAGGCAATATGTAATCGATCAGCTGAGTATGCCTTAAAAATAATGTAGCCGCGAAGCCTGCCTCTTTTAACGGCTGCACCTATATATACACTTGTAGGTGTGTACAATATACTATATGTTTCTTACCCCGATTATATGAGTACCTATGTATATACCCTCTTACCTACCTTTTTATTATTGATCGGAAAAAGGGAGTGGGTCGATGCCACGCGTACACTTTTTTTTTTTTTTTTTTTTTTACAGTTAAAAATGACACAGCTGATTCAGCAGGATCTTATACGAATAATCGCTCTCTGTATAGGCATATTTATATATATTTATATGGTAGAGATTTCAGTGGGGTAAGGTTTTACTTGGATCACCCAGCTGGCCCTCACGAATATTTTGACCTTGTCTTCGTTTTTTTTTTTTTCCCTCAAGAACTACATGTTAGTACACATAAGTATGTGGTACTCAAGATTAAGAGATCGATGGTTCACAAACATTGGGTGTACGTATAAGTACAACATATCATTTGACAAATTATGACCTTTCGTAAATAATTTGATTATCGACTCTCTATTGTGGGGACAAAGTAATTGGGCTTGACCAATGTGTTTTTTTTTAATTTATCATTTATCGCAAGGCGTAATGATCCTAGGAATCACCACCCACACGTACACTTACTCAAGGCACTGCGATTAATTTATTAGGTGAATATAGATTTTTTTTTTTTTCACCAAACTAGTGTCGAATCATATTATATCTTGATTAATTCGCAATAAAAGAACATGGGAGCGAAGGGGTTGGTCAAAGTTTTGTTTTTTTCCAATGGACTAAATGTGCTCAAATTCAAACTTTCTTTCTCCCTTACTGATTCACGCGGATGGGGGTTGCACGGGATGATGCATATCTACGTATGTAAAAAAATAGGGACACAAAAAGCCACAATCCACGTTATTCCATTGCTTACCCCGAGAGAGAGAGAGTTAGATCCCTACTTTTTATCACGTGTAAAATGTATATGTATATATATGCACACATGGTACGATACTATAACTATCGCTATATAGTATAGTTGTAGATGTACAGGATCGGTATATACAATACAGAGATAAAGATGAACAAAACAGAACAGAATATATTTATAAAGACACGCACACACGTATATAAGAAGGAAAAGCTAGCTATACCTATAAGGGTGGAGGAAGGGAGCGAGTGCGGACTATCGACCTGGTGTTTGCCGCAACTATGACTATACATGTACTTGCTGTCCGTTGGCGTCGGTCAGACGAGCAGTAGAGCAGAGAGGCGAGGACACATCAGACGTCAACTACTGGCGGCGACACCGCCAACTCGTGTCCTCTCTCTCTCTGTCTGTATCTCGTGTAATATATATATATTAATTACACCCTCCTCGACAAGTCTACTCCACCTGTTCTCGTGGATCGTCATTACCGTTGTGACCATTATTTGTTGTTTTTCTTTCACTTTCAGCCGAAAAGTAGTGCCTCTGCATATTTACATGGTCGGCAAGGGTAGTCGCGCGCGTGTGCCTGTACAACCATTGTACGACCCTCGTGTGACGTTCAAACGGAATATTATGTGCGCTGTCTTCAACAAATAAGAACAAGAAGAAGAAGAAGAAGAACAAGTGTACACACCGATACGGCATTTTGTTACTCCCCCTCCCTCCCTTCCTCTCTCTCTTCTACGGAGTATCGATTATAATGCATCCATGAGTAGCGATGCAACTTGTTCAGTTCTCATTTTTTCTACTCTCCGCACCCCGGCTGCCTTGATTACATCACTTGGTCGTGGTTTCACTCAAGTATACATTAACCCAAGTGATACAACCGTACGTATGGTCATACTGGGCACGCCAGGCGCTGGACTTCAACGCAACATATGTAGGTAGAAGGAGAAAGAGAGCACGGAAAGAAAAGAAAATCAAAGAAGTTTGCCCTTGCCAGCGTTGCGGAGAGAGAAAGAGACGGTAATAGGCAGCTCACCCCACCCCCTCGGGGTATATTCCTCTTCTATACCAACCGCCCTTCCCCGTATACACTACAACCCCCCCCCACCCCGACTCAACCCTCTCGCTAAAGCGAGCAGAGCCGGAAAAGGTTGTAGCGCTGCAGCCACGAAGCACCGATCACCGTTCTCGTCCTCGCCGTCTTCTGCCACCCTCTTGTTTCGACTTCCAAGGGACCGTCATGATCGGCTCTTTTTGGAACCTCTGCCGCGCGTGCCCCGCCATGCCTTTAGACAAGGTGAGAACACACACACACATATATATATATGTATACATTACTGCAACACGACACGAGCTTTCCTATTTTCTTTTCTTTTTTTTTTTTTCCCTTCTTCTTTTGTCTTTTGCCCCCGAGCCCCGGGTTACTTCGTAAAATATATCATGCTTTTCCCCCATCCGTGTCTGCCTATTCGTCCATTGGTGTGGGTGCCTATTGATTTTTCAATTGTACATCAAGTGTGCGCGAACACACGGCGACTGATTGCCACGGGAGCACAATAAATTGCACGCTTAGGTATATTACTTGCACACAATTTTTAGATGGGTATACTTACCGTGCACCTGGTAGGATCGTTACTAAGTATATTATACTTAATATACTTATTGCTGCAGATGTACATGATAAGTTCGACAATAATCCCCTTTTTCCACGCGTTGTACACGCACGCACATACACACCACCTTCCTTACGATTTGGTACGAGTGTGTGATTCCCCGCACCTTGCCTAATGCCTACTCGTCGTCGTCGCTCTATCATTCAACGAGAGAGTTTTGGAGGTTAGGAAACCGCTACAGGGAATTCTATAAGCTTTGGGGGGGCTCAATGGTGCAAGATCTGCAGATATCAATGCGGACAAGTACCTACTCGGTAGAACCTTATCATTTTTGGACACGACCCCTACACCGGAGCGTCCATAATTATTTTCACCAGAGCAAAAAGTACAACCAGTGGACGTGGACTTTTCATCCGATTTAACAAAATTTCACCAGCCCCAACATTGCATAAATCTGAGTGATTTAAATCAGTTTTTTTTTTTTTTGCATATGATTTTTTTTAGTAGTTACTATGGGCCCGTTTAAAATCGAGAAAAAAAAAATTAAGATATTTACCACTTACGTAGACCCAAAAAGAGTAGTTTTCGTATACCTTATGGAGCATGTCGCCGGGGCAGGCATCAGGCCCGTGGTACTCCTTGTACTTGTCCTGGTTGGATGGAGAAGGTATTTCCATGCCTTCGTAGTTAAAAAGATAATGCTACGCAGGTTTTTAAAAATCAGTTTTTTGGGTATTCCTTGAAAATTCCTTAGGCTTACGTAATCGGCATTAAAGAGAAAATTGTAGATATAAAAGAAAAAAAAATGCATTTTTTAGATCATTTTATGGACATTCTAAAAACTATTTTCATACTTACTGTACAGTCTTATTCAAATTACAATGCCAATGGTCTAAGAGACAATAAATAATAAAAAAAAAAAAAAAAATTGATTTTTGCTGATCGTAGTATGAAGTTGACGTTATATTACAAAGTTTTGAATTAAAAGTTGTGGATTTTGAAAAAAATACAAATTTTTCATATTTTGATTAATTTTGCTCATATTTCGGATTTATTTGTGGTCGACGAAAGTTTTAGATCTTCTACGTTATTGTTGTGCACATTTATATCCAAAATGTGATCATTATGGTTTAAGTAACAATAGTTAACAAAAATAGTTAAAAACTGATGCAAAATGGGGCTAATTAAAGTAATTTTAAAAATTTACACAAGTATTGTTGTACTATTTACTTATATATTTTTTTTTTTTTTTCTAAATTGAACCACTTGTTTATAGCTTAGTTTTGAATGGCTTGTAACGTAATAATCGTGTGTAATATTTTTAATGTAAAATATCATCAGCAATGGAGTCTAGAGTTGATCATTTTCAGTCTTTTTTCATGTCTTGTTCATTTGAGGGGGGAGGGGGTGACCGAAACAAAAGAAGACAAGATCGGCGGTTTCACAAGTAGGGAGGTACTTTCAGCTATCCAATAAATTGACTTTTAAGGCGATTTTGAGGCCCAAATTTGCACCGATGGCATTGAATTCACACTTGGCCATACTAACCGCATAATAATAGTAGTAGTGGTAATAATAATAATTATAACTATAAGGATAATTTACGTAAATCTTGACGAAAAAATAAGCTCCAACAAAACCTCGCTGATACATAAGTACTTATGGATTACCGATCAAGTGTACCTATATGTGAAATACTCGGACGCCTCAAATGGATTCTGCGTGCTCATCGTTCCGCAAACATTTATCTCTCCGGCATTTTCGTTGACGCAACTGGCGTAACGGTGCATCGAAAAAAATATCAATACCGTTCGACCGATGAATTCCATAAAAACTCTTTTTACACGCGTATGAAAAAAAACTTGTATTTACGTAGCGCATGACACCGTCGGACAACCATTACACATCCCGAACGCATATGGTAACAACAGCAAAAGAAGAAAAAAAAAAAAAAAAACGTATCCATGAGATGAGGCCAAAATTGATGTACTCGAGTAATGGAGCAGTGGAAAACCCACAGATACACGTACAGGAATGTAGTATATGTAGTCGTCGGGCACGAGACAGCTTTTATACACCGGCGCGTCGCGTTCCACTTCCGGCGCCGCTGGCAAGAATGAGACGAGCGAAATCCTTCGATCCATCTCGCGCGCACGAAACTTTCTGTCCGTCTGTCCCGCGCTCAATTATGCGGAAGAAGTTCGGCTCCCTAGCCTCCCTATATATATTTTTTCACCCGATAGGGTTGCCGGTGACGTTTTATTACCGGCCGCTCGTGTCCTTGTTTTGTGCGCCACGCGCGTAATTTTCATTCTCCCGAGGAAATAAAAATAAAAACACGGGCTCGCCGATATGGTCAATTATTCATTCGAGCACTGTATACCATTTTATTTCGAGTCGTGCGGTCGGTGGGAGGGAAACACGTACATGCATTCATTTACACCCCCCGGGGGGGGGGCGAATCTTTAACGAGCGAATGTGTCCAAAGGGGGATTATTCGATTCCTGCGCGAGTTTCCTTGAAATATTCAAACTGCGTCTGGTGTGTTGTTTTGGATGGGGAAGGGAGGGGAAAAAAAAAAAAAAAAAACGAGAAATGCGAAACAAGTGTCGGGCACTTGAAGGCGTCGTTCGTTGAAAAATAAATTAATGCGTCGGAACGGGTGGGTAAATACACTATACTCCATCCTCGCGTCGCATTGGCGTAACAGCGCGGCTTTGAAATAAGCCTACAGAGGCGGTCTCGCGTGATCCGGCGCAAGACGTAAGTTAATGCTACCACTACACCTCGTATACCTTACCTCGTACCTACTCACCTAACAGCCTATATGTGTGCACGTATTACACACGTACAGACTCACATGTACGTATCAATACATGCAGTGCACAGGCAAAACAAAGAATATATACTTATAAACAATCTTAAACTACACGCCTGTAGATGTAGAGTATGCAAATGTTAGGGATACACTGCAGTTGAATATCGTATTATACCCAATGTTATGTATAATTAAAAACGATAAGTATTGTCTTAGTGGCTAGGGGAGGAATCATCGTCCCTCACAGAAATCATCAGTATGCACGAAACCTTATGGGGCATTTTTAAAATAAATTTTTAAAAAATTATCGACACAGTCGCGATTCATATTATTTTTTTCGGATCTTGTAGATTTTGCATAATTAAATTGAACGAAATTTATTACTGTACACCAGCATAATAGCACGGATTCATTTGATCAATTAACTCTCAATGTTTTTTTTTTTTTAATTTTTTTTCAATTGATTAAATATTTTTTCAAAAGGCTCCGGTCAATCTAGCGATCTCAGTGAGAGATAATTTCATTTCTCACACGTGTTAAGGACATTTTTCTTTAAAAAATTTTTTTTGAAGAAAATATTAAAACTTTACAATCACTAGGTTGTATAATAATCATACATACTTTGAATATTGAAAGTTGTACTTACAAGGTGTTGAGGATTCTCGTATAGAGTC